CTACACATCCAAAGTTCTCTAAGTGTTCTTGCCTAGCTAAAGGCTTCGGGGGTTTTGTTTGTGTTTTGGTGTTGGGTTTTTTGGGTTTTTTTTTTTTACAATACTTCAGGCAATTGCAGATCTTCCTCCTGTGCAAGACTTTAATTTTACAAGCAGGAAAACAAAAAAACTGTAGGGTGAGGAAATACAGAAATATAAATGTTTTATTTGTTTAAATAAATAACCAACATAACAAGTATCTCTCAACAAGTATAAACTATTGTTACTCTTCCCATCATACATGCCAGCAGGAAAAATAAACTGTATTTAATCTGCTAAACAGATGATGCCTTGATCTATGAATTCTCTCATAAGAGAAACATATAATTTAAAGAAGATTAGTGTAAGGGAACAAGGGAGGAGTAGGAAGCGAAAATATTTTTAGGTAGCCTCATGAACTGGAAAGTAACCACACCTTATTCCAGCAAATTGTAAACAAGTATTTGACAAAAGAAGAACTCCTGGTTTTGGAGAATAACCTGTAATATGTAAATATTTGTTCCTGCAAGTAACATATGTTATTAAATTGGCTTGTATTAGCAAACTGTATTCAAAAGAGATTTATGAATGTTCTTGGGTGGTGGGGCTTTTTTAGATAAGTATCAGTGAACAGACCCCAACAGAACAGTATACTTTAAGCACCTGATTTACAGATTTGTAACAGAAGACATGCCAAATACACCTGCACTGTGAGTAGGTTCAAATTAAACCTTAAAACACATTAAAAAATTAAAGTGATCCCAGCACAGGGCTTTGGGAGGGGTCCGTGTGCTGTGCTTTAAAAATAACGCAAGCAAAGAGCATTGCTGGGCAAGCAAGATTACAGGCAGATTGCTAACAAGTTAACAGCAAGTTGTTTTTTTTTTAAAAAAGTCTGATAATATGACAGCTGCTTCTAAGTCAAAAGTAATTCCAATGAATCACAGCAGCGCGCAACTTGCAAGAGTAGTTAAGTACGAGGACCCAAGAAGAACCCGTGAAAATACTGTACGTACCATCAAAATATTTAACTAACACATGGAAGTAAATAAGGCGGCCACAACCGGGCCCTGCAAAGCGCGGGGGCGGCACAGGGGCGGGCAGGCGAAGCAGCAGACGCATCCCACCCACGGAAGGGAGGGCGGCC